TCCCCCGGGGGGGGGGGGGGGGGGGTATGATAGAATTGCTACTAGTGCTTACTCTATAAATAATGTAAAGTGCGAAGTAAACTAAGGGCATAGAATTCGTAATTTAATTTCTATTTCAGAAATGGTTTCATAGGATAGACCTTTCAGAAGCTTCCAATAATTTATTGATGATTGGTAAAATATGAATAATTAAGGTAAAATCAAGATTTTCTTGAAGTGAAAAAAGTTTAACGTGTCCACCTAAATAAATTATATTGGATTCAGCTGAGGAAATTTTTTATGTTTCTATAATTGAGGAAGTAAAAACAAAAACCAGATTAATCCAAACAAGTTTTCTCATTTTAATTCTCTACCCAAACTGGTTCAGCTAAATTTTCAGAAAACCAAAGTGGATCAGGTAAAAAATTTTATTCTGAACCGAGTGAGACCGAAGCAAACCACAAGAGTGACGGTACACCCTTACTGAGTACCAAAACTTTAACCGACTGGTAGTCGTTAGTCTATACAAACTTAAAAGATAACTATGTTGATGACATAATAAATAAATATAAAAATTACGTTTGCTTACATTAGCAGTTTAAACCAAATCTGAAAGATTACTTCATTACTTGAAAATTAGAAACTGTCTCTCCCTGTTAAAGACTAAATTTATATGAATAAATTGGTCTCATCTCTAATAACTTAATCTTTTAGACAAAAAGTCAGGCAAGAGACCCAGGTTCAAGTTTGGTCGCCATTGCGAAAATTTGTGCACGTTGTCGAGTATTTTGTAACACTAAACTTTACAAAACAAAAAAGGGAAATGTACACTTCTCCGAAATTTAACAATAATTATCCAAGAGGCTCTACTTTCTGCTTTATTGTGGTTTATCCATAATCATCAGCTGCAAGGGTTACGGATTATCCCAAAAAGAAACAGAAAAGGAAGGAATGAAGGAAGGAAGAAAATCCTAATTCCTAAGCACAGAATGCTTCAAATAAAAATCTTTCAATTTCAAATAGCAAACAAAAGAATTATACCCACAAGTATAGCAACAATAATAACAAGTACTACTGACCTCCACTCGCTTTCTCCGTAGGGTGAGTCGTCAAGGTCTTCTTTATTAACAGTATTGAACATCAAAGCAGCCAAAGACGCAAATATGCCTGCAAAAATAGAATGTAAAGGCAGGAAAATCAACCATAAGTAATAATTTTCACTAAATAAAGTTGGAGCTGCATCTTAAAAAGTCAATTTTGTTAAGATTGATATTAAAAGGGTTACATGTTGATTAATTTTTCATAATTTGTCCATATAAAATTTCACTCTTGACAGCTCTTAACAAATAGAACTAAAAAATTCATATTGAAAACACCGGACAAATATGGAAAAGCCTGTTTGGCCAGGCTCGGCCCCCGTATTTTGGCCTGGCCTTGAGCCTGGCCAAAAAGCAGGGCTCGACAAATATATAGATGCAGGAAAAATGCTATTTGTCAACCTCCCCTCAAATGAGCGGCCCATGACAATAAGAAAATCGAGGACCTAGAGTGTCAACCCCCTTTACGTGTAGCAAAACTCTAGATGCAGATACAGACATATACCTGGAAGATAGTGGAGGAAAGAAACTTTGACGGAGCTGCATACTACGGCATCGACCCAGAACCACCAGCCAGCACCAAAGACTGCGCCGGCGAATCCGGGTCCAAAGATTGCCCACAATTCTCCCAAATCCATTTATATTATTTCCTTAAATTGATATTGATATATTATCGCCCTCCTTGAGTTTGGAAATAAGAAAATCTTTCAACTGAATTGGGTTTCGAATTCTGAGTCTTGGAAAAGTATAGGATTTGATTACAGAATAAAGATTGTTGAAGAATTGGGATTTATTAATTAATGTATGCTTTTTTGGTACTAGCACTTGGGCAGTTCCAGCCAGCAATCAAATGCTTTATTTCTCTCTCTAATAAGATAGTTAAGCCCAAATAGCCTCATTTTTTTTCAAATTGAAATGGATGGAGTAATAATTTTTTAAGGAATTAGTGATTGAAAAAGAAATAAAAAATTTTAATTTACGTGTAATATTATTTTATAGAAGATTGTGCAATTGAAAATCGAAAGAAAATAAAATTTAATTTAATGAGAACCAAACGAGGATTAAATTGTTGCTAATATAGCATTTTAAAAGGAACACGAGAATTTTTAGTTGACTAATATTTATAAACAATCAGATCACTTATATAATTTACATATTTTATAGAATTTATGACTTATTAATTTATCTACAAATTATTTTTACTTATTTATAAATACTAGTGCATGTCTCGTGCGTTGCACGAGTATTGTTTAGATTATGTTATTATTAGCGTGGAATGTATAGATTTTTTTTTTTTTAAAGTGTTTTAAGTTTTTGAAAATGAGAAATTATTGTTTTTATAATTAAGATGTAAATTGAAGAGAAAGTAATTTCATTGAAAGCTATAAAAGAACTACAAGCCACATCAAAAATATATATAATATCATCCAAAATGAACTGACTTGGTTTTTCAGCTATTTCAAAATATAATACTGCTGAATTTTTTCATTCCATTTTCTACTCTATTTTTTCTTTCATTTTGTCTGATGAAGTAAATGGATTTGAACTAGGACTTTCTGACTGGTGAATTGCTGATTTGAAAGGAGCTTTTTTTGCTAGAGGGGACCAATTGTCATCGGCATCCATGTCAAAATGTTCCAAATTTTTTTCAGAATCAATATTCTTCTGATGTCATTCTTGTTGTTCCTCTGCAATTAAACATTCCACAGAGATGATGTCAAATTTGTAATTAGATGAATTAGGTTCTACTTGAGTCGCTTTGAGATAGAATGCTCTTTTAGTGTTTTGTATTTTTCCAATTATATCTCCAAAATTTGCTTCTGAACCCTATATAAAAAATATGAATGTTATGAAAAAATCCATCAAATATACCAAAATAGATATTAGAGAAGATTGTAAATTATTACAAAGTTTTTTCTTCTATCAAAGTTTGTGCATCTGTAAACATAAGTTTTTTTGCAGCTTCACCAATTGCACTATA